GTGTCATTTCTCTGAGCTTGATACTACTTTGAACTTTTTTTCGCCATCAACACCTAGCACATGTTGTAACATGTTTTCACGTTTTAACAATCGTCATTTTCGGTGAACTGCTCATCAATATTCGTCATAGCCCTTAATCTTTAGAACGATTGACTTATTTGGTTATCCATGTGTGTGTGTGTGTTAATATATATATATATATATATATATATATATAAACTAATGATCCGTTCTATTATCTCTTCCGTTGCAGTCGGTCAGATAAGTTCGTGATGGAAGTAGCGCTATCCATGCGTGGCTTCGGTTTCTCGTTGTTGGACCTCAAACCCTCAGAGGTCGCCTATGTGGCATTGTCTGATTTTAACATGTCGTATAATCAGACAACCTTCCACCAGACTGTGGAGATGAGCGTCGGTGATTTCCAGGTACGTGTGGTGTGGTTCTAGGGTGTATGGTTTTAGAGTTTAGCTAACACCCTAAAATCCTAAAACCCTAAGACTGTGGAGATGAGCATAATTTCCTGGTCCGTGCTGTGGGGTGTGGTGGTGCCGAATTTCTGCTAACAGGGGACACTGGGTTATGCATGGCTACTTATTACTCAGTGCTTGTATATGCGTATGTATTTTTAGGGTTTAGGGTTTTATTGTTAGTAAAGTGTGTGCGTCCCATCTGGAGTCTTGAGAGCGTGGTAGTAATGTAGTCACGTGAATGCCTATACTCCTGTCGGTGGATGTGAGTGTTCCGTATGGTACATGTTGATATGGATTGATAATAAGTAGATGTTGTAGGGTTTAGGGTTTAAGTGTAAGTACACACCGTTTAAAGCTTGTGTAGTTGTAGTAGAGTACATTTGTAGTTGTGTGTAGTGATAGTGTATTACATTTATAGATATGTATAGTTATGATACAATACATATATAGTAACGTATAGTTAAAATACAATGAATTTATAGTTTATGTATATTTATAATATAATACATTTATGGTTATGTATAGTGTATATACAATTCATTTATAGTATGCGTAATGCTCGGGTGGATCAAATGTACATACTCAGTACTTGAAGTGTAATGTACGAGGAAGGCTATGACTCGTTCATCGTTTTAATTTTGGTACATTACTATGTTACATACATTAACTTCTAATACATATATTAACTCACAATACACATTATTTCATAATATATTAACTCACAATTAACTTATATTACATATATTAACTCACAATACACATTAGCTCATATTACATATACTAGCTCACAATACATATATTAACTCATAGTACGTATAGTAACTCATAATACATATATTAACTCATAATACATATATTAACTCATAATTAATATAGTAACTCACAATACATATAGTAACTCACAATACATATATTAACTCATAATACATATATCAACTCATAATACATATATTAACTCATAATTAATATAGTAACTCATAATACATATATTAACTCATAATACATATATTAACTCATGATACCTGTTAACTCTTTATACATATAGTAACTCATAATACATATATTAACTCATAATACATATATTAACTCATAATGCACATTAACTCATTACATATATCAACTCATAATACATATATTAACTCACAATAC